TTCACGGAAGCAAAGCCCAAACCACACCCACTGCCGTGGAGTCCATGCTGACCCACAGCGCCCCTAGAGGACAGAGTGGAACTGCACCACAGGGTCTCCAAGGCTGTCAGTCTTCACAGAAGCAAAGCCCAAACCACACCCACTGCCTGGAGTCCATTCTGACCCACAGGGTCTCCAAGGCTGTAATCTTTACAGAAGTAAAGCCCAAAGCACGCCTACCGCCATGGAATCCATTCCGACTCACAGCCCCTCTAGAGGATGGAGTGGAACTGCGTCATAGGGTCTCCACGGCTGTCAGCGCCTAAGGCACTTGACTGCTAACCAGAAGGCTGGTGGTTCAAACCCACCAGCCACTCCTCAGAAGGACCGTTGGGCAATCTACTTCCGTAGACCCACCAGCCACTCCTCAGAAGGACGGTTGGGCAATCTACTTCTGTAGAGATACTGCCTCAGAAACCCAAGGAGGGATCGCTATGAGTTGGGTCTGACTCGATGGCAGTGAGTTTGGTTTTGGCCATGTTCACAGAACCAAACCCCAAACCAGACCCACTGCTGTGGAGTTGATTCCGACTCAGTGCCCCTAGAGAGAGGAGAAGTGGCCCTCAGGTTTCGGAGGTGGTGATCTTTACAGAAGCCAGCTGCCTCATCTTTCTCCCACGGAGTGGCTGCTGGGTTTGAACTGCTGCCCGTTTGGTTAGCAGCTGATGCCTTAACCACTGTACGACACATGAAAGGAATCACTGATTGGTCTCCATGAGCACAGACAGGGTCAAGAGGCCGTTGATGTGATGCATCACATGCAGGATGATGAGTCTGCATCCTGTGATGAAAAACGCAAACCAGCAAGCTGATGCAAAGCTGCTAACATCCTGGACCAGTGTCTAACCCCGTAGGCTACAGCACTTGAACAGGGGGTTCACGACGCATTTATGAGATGTAACGGATAGGAGCAAGGGGGGCTCCTACGGGTCCCTCCTGAGGAGGGAGCGGACGCCGCTTGGCCCTGCGCCCGTGGTCAGCTGGGGCTCGGACTGTCGGGACGCACAGAATTCTCACTGGCTTGTGTCCTGGCAGCCGGTCCCCAGCCCTGCGTTGACGGCCCACCTGTCAGCAGCACGGCTCAGCGGTCGGCATCGGGTACACGCAGGCCTCCACTGAGAGACGGCAGCGGCTGCACACAGCAGGCCTCGTCAGGATGGAACCTGGGTCCCCACACCAGAGGCGAGGAGTCGGCCGCGGCCGCCCCACCCTCTGCTTGTCGTCGTCAGAGCCATCACCAGCCTGTGAGGGAGCAGACCTGCCCCAGAGGGCTTCCCGGGCCGCCATCTTTACAGCCGCACATGTCCCGCGAAGCTGCCGGGTGCACCCAAACCAACCGTTCCGTTACCGAGTGCTTGACCACTGGGCCAGCAGGGCCCCTGCCCCTCCCGAGGGCCGAGATGACGGCACAGGCCGCGGATGTCCACCGACGCGGCCGGGAAGGGGCCGTGAGGCTGAGGCTGCCGGGATCCATCCGCTGAGGGCGTCCTCCTGCGCCCCCTGGCGCCCACGCTCAGCATCGCGCCAGCACAAACTCCAGGCCCAAGAACGGACAGGTGACTCGGCCCGTGCGCAGCCCACGGAGCCCCCAGCTCAGCACACCCACAACGATGGGTCCCACAACACGCCGTGAAAAAGCAAGTGACAGAACGTGGTGCCAGTATGATCCCTTTTAGAGAAAGTACCAGGCCTGTGGGACCCCCAGTAGACCGAGGTGTGACCACCTGAAGCCCCAGGGCCATTTCCTCGGGGATCCAGGCAGCCTGGGCTGCAGGGCCGTCTCCTGGCCTGGGTGGAGAGTGGCCCGGTCCCTCGTCAGTCCGGGGCTGTCCGGCGTGAACTGCACTTTTCCGGAAAGTCCTCCATGTTGACAACAACCGGGGACACACACACGGGAGGACAAGGAGCAGAGGCCGCCAGAGGTCACTTTATTTTGTCTTCTCAAACGTAACAGGTCCACTGAGCCATTTTCCAGTCTTGAGACCAGCAAGACTAGAAAATCAAGCAGCCCCACCCCCCTCCACACTTCCCAGGCGGGCAGGGCTCCCAGCGCGCCCGCCTCAGAAGGACCGAGCTCTCAGCTGGGCTGCCACCCAGGGTCTTGCACCAATGACCAAGGAAGTTAATGAAGACACAGACTGACCCTGCCAAGTGACCCTGAGCCTCCTGTCTCACCATCACGTTCCTGCCCGATTTCTTTTCCTTCTTGAAACCCCAAAGGGCTGGCGTGGAGTTGGACCAGCTGAGTCGCAACGTTTGAGGACCATAGCTTTGGACTGAGCCTCTGTGAGGGGTCCCCTCCCACCCTGTGTGCAGGTCCCGTCCCTCCAGGAGGCCACAGAAGTGTCTAGGTTTGCCCCATTGTGAATGTCAGCGTGCAGTGGGTGAGACCAGCAGCCCTATCCAGAGACTGGCCCTCAGCATGGCAGGGGGATCTCGTGTTGCCTACGGTGCTTCCTGTGTGCCCGGCTGTTTCCCTAAAGTCGCAGTTTAGGGCAGGTGGGGCCGTGGAAAACTTTACCAGGGAGGATGAAGATTGGAGGAGTCTTTAGGGGACCCTGTGAAGTAACACAATTCCAAGGAGCAGTATTCAGGGTCCTGGGACCCCACAGTACCTCGGAACCCTGCTCCACAGCCCCCTGGGGCCGGAGTGACGCCGTCCCTGAGCCCATGGTCCCAGGGAGTGTGTCGTCCACCACATGTGCCAGCACCATGTGGGGCTCTGGGGACACGGGTCGTCACAGAGCTGCCAGCCTCTCCAGCAGAAGCAAAGTGCTGAGGCTAGACGGGGGTCACTGTCGTTCCACCTTCAGGGTCAATGGTCCTGTGGTCCGAGAACAAGGCCGCGAGAGCGGCCCTCTATGCTGACGGGGGGGCGGGGCGGGGCGGGAGGCAAACACTGCGTGGGGCCCGCATGCCCACTTCACCACGTAAACCCTGCTGAGTAAAGCCCGGGCCCACGTGCTGTCTGCTCAGTGTCAGAGTGACCACCTGTGCCCCCTGTGCCGTCCCCTCTGTCATGAAACAACCCTGCCTGTAATAGCCCTGTCCCTGCAAGCCGGAGTCCAGCTGCCTCTCGCCAGCTCCAATTACTCTACACGGGGTCACCGTGCCACTGGCATGGTAAAAACGCCACCGGCCCGCGACACCGAGCAGTGGTGCAGGGTTCAAGGAGGAGCGCCTTCAGTGGGCCGCCCCCAGCCATCCTTCCCTGTCGCTGTGGCTTCAGCCCGAGGTGAGGACCTGTCAGGGGTCAGAGGCAACAGAGACAGCACTGGTGCCATTCGGGTGGAAAAGTACAAGTGTGCAATAAATACATGGGAGGAAGTGTGAAGATGGGAAACACGGATCCGCACTGTGCGTGGGGCTCGAGGCAGCCCACAGGCTGCCCCCGGTGGACGGCCTCCCTCAAGCTCACCGGGGGAACGTTCTATCAAACGCCATTGGGTTTCTGTTCCCCCGAGCCTAGCTGTGCTGGGCACCCGGTGTTGGGACAACGCGTCGGCATGTGAACCTCAGGACAGCGGATCACTTCCGGCGCCGAGGTCGTCTGTGGAGCCTCGGCTCCTGTGCACGGGGCGGAGCTGGCTCCGGCTGCCGGCAGGACTGCCCGGAGCACGCCTAGGCCGAGCGCGAGGGCCGAGGTTCGAGATCAAGGGCCGTCACTCAGCGGCTGTCCTGGCCGCCGCGGGGGGACTGCTGGAGGGCGGCGGCGGCGGGCCCGCGGGGCGCTGGAGCTGCGGAGCACAGCGGGCATCGGGCCGCGCTGCAGCCGTAACTTACGTAACATACGTAACTTACGGTGACGGCGACGTGCCGCTAACGGCAGGCGGGCGGAGACGACCTGCCCAGGCGACCAACCACAGGCGCCTGGCGCCTGACCGGAGTGGCCCCGTCGCCGTCCCCCGCCTCCACGGAATACGCCATGTTCCTGAAATCACTGCTGAAGAGCCGCTAAGCCGGCCGCTGCAGAGGCTGCGTGGCCGGCGGGGCTGACGTCTACGAAGCAACGCCCTCCGTCTGCTGAGAAGTCCTGTGAAACCAGCCCAGAGACGCGGGGGGGACTCGGGATGCCTGACGGGGACGTGACGTGGCGACACTGGGCCCTCGCCTAACGCCAGGCTCTAACATCAAAATGAACGTCTGCGTTGCGGTGCCGGCGTCCCCGTGGCTGGCCTGGCCTTGCTTCCTCCAGCACCGCCCACGCTGGCCCTGGAGGCACGAAGGACCGGGGATGCCGGACGCCTCAGCCGTGCGAGGCCTGCTTTGGATTCTCCTCGATCCCCCGTGCAAAGAGTCGGACCAGCTGGCAGTGGACCCTGCGGACACAAACGGCCACAGCTGAAGCGTCGCAGGCGCCTCCTCCTGCGGCCCCAGGGAGCCCCACACCTGGCCAGGGCTGGAAGTGCAGCCTCGACGAACCCTGGGCCATCCCTGGGCTGGCCGCTTCGCTCTGGCCTCTCTGGGGTGGCAGTCGACCAACTACCTTCCTGAGGGGCCAGTGTGCGCCCTGGGGAGCCAAGGAGAGCTGCGAGCCAGGTGGGCCCGGGACAAATCCGGACACCCCGCTGGCTAACTCCCAGCTGGGACGGGCCTGTCCGCTCCACAACACACGTCCGTAGGGCTCCAGTGCGGACGCAGAGATGCGTGAGGCATGTCCCGACGAGAGGGCAGCGTCACTGACGTCACCAGGGTGCGCGCGCACAGACGCTGAGGAGACTGAAGATGCATCGCGTGCGCGGAGAAACCCGTGAGCGCCGGGACGGCCTGGCTTCTCGGGGTCTCGCACGTTCCGCCTGGGACGGGGTGCAGGCCCACCACCTTGTCACTCGTTTTAGGGGGCATTTGGGGGCTTCCCTCCTCGGCAGCTTTCTGCCTCGCGCAGGTTCCGGCTTTTGCAGGGTTCAGTGTATGTTTATCACAAAAAGTGCGACGGAGGGCGGGAAGGGAAAGAGGTGCGCTGCCTCCTGACGGGGCCTGCAGGGGACCTGCCTTCTAGGGGCTCTGGGATGAGAAGCTGGCTCCAGGGCCCCAGTGGGTGCCTGTGTTCCTACTGGCTGGGCCCCCCCCGCGCGCGCGCACACACACACACACACACACACACACACAGTTTCATGATAAACTCCTCGGAAACCTGTCAGTAACAAGAGCCCCGTGTGAAATCACGGCCTGTGAAGGCGTGTGGGCTACATTTCTCAAAAAACACTTCTACTTTTCAAAGAACCCGATCCTTTTGGTGCAAACACGAGCTGGCATGAAAAGCGACCCATGCCTTAACGTGAAAACGGAGCAGAGCGTGAACAACAGCGTGTAAACAGCAGAGGCCTGGAGCACACGGCGGCCGGGCTTTCTGTGGCCTTTGTGGGCCGTGGGGAGACTGCCACCTGCCAATCGGATCCTGATCAAAGAGGCAGCCGCTCAGGTGGCAGGCGGCCTCCAGCAGCGTCAGACACAGGACCTCGAGGTCCGAGGGCCCCCATCCGCTGCTGAGGGTGCTGGGGGCAGAACCGTCTCAACCTGCACCTGGGCTGCGGCCGGTCGCCACGTCACATCATTGACGGTGGGGAGCCATCAGAAAGCGGCACCCCCATGGCCTTGGACGCGTTCACGCCAACGCTGGGGTGTGCAGGGTGGGGTTGCTGACGGGCACCCTCATCCCTTGTCACGTAATCCAGACCCCAGTGCCCCGGCAGCGAGTGCCAGCTTTGGTCTTGTTAAAGTAGGTGGGGCACTTAGGGACGTGTGCAGAGCCACTGCTAAGGAATCTTCCGGACTTCTCCAGGTCCCATCGTCTTACACAAGCTTCCCACCCACGCCTTACTCGGCACCCTTTCTGTAAACAAGTTTGCTTTTATCGTCTTTCCAAATCATTAACCTTCAATCTGATTAAAAACAAAAAACACCACCTTTCTCTTTCCTCCTGTTTCTAACAGTTATGTAATATGGTCCCTCCCATCACCAGGTCCAGGGCCAAATACAGTGGGCCCCATGCACCTTGTGAAGACTCCAGTCCCCACCTGGCCCGACGGGTCAGGGAGCCTGCATGGCGGTGGGCTCCAGCAGGCCGGGCCGCCCTCAGCGTTGCCAGCACCGCCCTGTGAGTGCACCTCAGAGCCCGCTGAGCTTCTCCGCCTGGGGCACCGGGGCTGGCAGTGGGTCCTCCCAGGCCCAGCCCTCCAGGTTCCAGCCGGGCCCATCCAACCAGCTCGTGGCTCGCTGGCCACGCACCTCTAGGAACCTGCTTCCTCCTGCTGCTCCTCCTCCCTTCGTCCACCTCGTGCCCCCACATCCAGTGTCCACACGCCCCCACTGCACTGTGCTGGGGCTGGGACTGCATTCTCTGGATGCCACGAGCCCAGGACTTAGGAAGTGTCGTCAAGGTAGTTCCATTTTGTTCTTTAGTTCAAAGAAAGAGGATACCAGGCAGTAGACTGGTGCCGGGGTTGGGGGTGGAAGGCAAGGACACAGGACCCGTGAACTGAGCTGTACGTGTGGGAATGCTGAGAACAGCAGACGTGTTACCTGTCGCTCGGGATGGAATTACGTCCTTGGCTGGGCCCTGACTCTCAGTTTATGTAATTATCCTCCACTCTGATCTGATGGAAATTCTAGTCTCTGTGACACTGATGAGGCAGGATGAGAGGCAGCTGTGTTAATGAGGCAGGAGACAGTCGACAGGACTGGGCTGTAACCTGCGTGAGTGTCTTCGGAGATGTAAGAGGTCAGACCAGCTAGCAGACAGAGGGACCTGCCACCACAGGGAAGAAGGGCTGGAGCACTGTGTCCTTTGGACCTGGGTCCCTGCGCTGAGGACCTGCTAGATCCTGGGTAAGACTGAGGCCAGGACACGCGGAGCCCTCCCAGGGTCCCCAGGCCCACAGATGCTGAAGGGAGACGAGCCGCCCCCAGGGCCGACACAGACAGCCTCCCCGAGTTTGGACTTTCGCCTCCTAAACTGTGGGAGAGTGAATTTCCGTGTGTTGAAGCCCCGCCTGTGGTATCTGTTCTACAGCACAATGACTGAGGCACCTACAGAGCGACCAGTTCAAACAAGCCTGTGACGACTACAGAACAGCACGCCCCGGACTCGATGCCCCAGCGACTTCCCAACAACTGTCCCAGCCGACGTCATAAACGGACACAAAAGCTCACGACGCTGCACGTTGACAGGTCACGCTCCAGAGCGGGAGACGCAGGAGGCACCGCAGTGCTGGGGGCGCCTTTGGTGCGTTGCTCACCTATGGCACACATCTGTGGGGACACCCCTGACTGACCCGGCTCAGTGGACCAGAGGGCCCACCGGACCAGAGGGCCCACCTGTGCTCACCTGACCTCACTTGATGCAAGGGTCCCCTCATTCGCCTGACCTCACCTGGCTGTGCTCACTGGATGCAGAGTCTCCGCCCCCCACATTCCCCCCGCCCTCACCTGGCTGCGCTCACCTGATGCAGCGCCCC